GGAATATAAGCTTGCGTATGTCACGACAGTGACTTCATCTGTGACATATTTGATTCGCGCCGCATACACGGGTGATGATATGTGCGTAGCGCTGATACGGTCTCTGGGGAGCAAGACATTTGGCGACTCGGACAAGAAGTTGTCATCGCGACTGCGTGCACAGTTATACCAATAGTAGTTGAATAACGGTCAGCTGTATAATAGCACCGGTTCAACGGATATGCCACGAATTGTGGTTCATCACGATGAGGATTTGAAAACCGTATTCTCTATGAGGCCCACAACACCCCACTCAGTGGTCATCTCGGTCGTGAAAAGACCTACAGCTTTGCGAATTAGCACTACTTGGGGTCCAAGCTGTTCAAACCCTATGTACGCACGTGTGAGACGTCTCCAAGGGTAAACCTCTCTCCGAATGCGGCGGCGTCGCTGGCCAGTTTGTCGAAACCCTCCGGGTGCTAACAGTCCATGAATTTGGACTTCGTGTTCGGCTAGCCAAAGGACTCGGTGGGTAGCACGGGTGCTGTGTCGTCGTCGACTGTTTGACCAAGATGGTTTATCTTGCGGTGGTGCCTGACACCACCGACGGTGTCGGCTCAGCGGCGCTGTTTGTCGATCGTGTCTTTCGGCAACATGGACCACCGAAGTTAATTGTCGTTAACAGAGGCCCACGCTTCACTGGAAAGTTTGTTCGACGATCTTCAAGGCGCTGGGCACCAAGCTGGATATGTTAACAGCGGACCATCCGCAGACCGATGCTCAGGCTGAGCGCGTGATTGTGTTGTCGAGGACGGCCTTCGCAGCGTCTGCGATGAGACACCGAGGCGCTGGAGCGCCATGCTGTCACTCGTAGAGTTCGCTCTGGACAATGCAGTGCTTTCGTCTACTGGCTGCACGCCGTTCTACGTGAACGGGCTCGTTCATATCCGTGTCTTGGCGATGCCGTTATCCCATGGTCCAGGCCTTGATAGAGGAGGAGTGGCCGAGCTGCTGGCTGATGTCAGCCCTCTCACTATCGGTAAAGAACTCGAAGACTTCCTGTCTACCAGATGAATGTCTTATGACACGTTCGTGATGCGATGGCTGAAAGCCAAGACATGCAGACAGAAGAGGAATAGGAAATGCTAAAAACTTTCAGGTCAGAGACCTTGTTTTATCAAAGACTCAATCCCTTCCTATACATGCAATTTCTGCTGTCTTTAAGACGAGCTTTGTCCACGGTTCATCGGAACCTTTAACGTTATGGGTAAGCGGGGCCTTGCGTATACGCCGAACCTTCCAAATTGGATGCGCACACACCCGGTGTTTTTATGTGGGCTTGCCCAAGTTAAAGAATGAGTGAACGCAGAAGCATTGACGCTGGAGCGGCGCCCACAGGTGCTGACCACCCAGAAGCTAAACCAGCAACAAGCTTTGAGCACGGAGCCTAATGACCGCTATCTTCAACGGCACCAGGCGCTCCACTTTAGATGAGGCGACGCATTCGTCCGCCCAACAGCTAATGACCGCTCCGAAAGATGGCGATAGTTCTTAACGTAAGGTATCCGGTGCATAACGTGCTTTAAGCTCTCTAGGAAATTCGCGAATCTGTATGCGACCGATTGCGACGGACCTCGTCCTCAAGAGCTCGAAGAGCATCGCGAGTCACCGGACGGCGATCCACCCAGTAGATATTGTCCGCCGCCGAATCTTCTCGACGAGAGTGGTGGTGTTCACTATCACGTGGAACATCTTGTTGGTCGACGTCGTCGCCAGGGACAAGCCAAGTATCTTGTGAAGTGGCGGGGATATTTCGACTTCGCGAATTCGCGAATTCACGGGAGTTTGAAGTACCACTTCGGTAAGACTGTCCAGACGTCGTGTACGCTTGTGACTATAGAGATCATGACGCTCCGCGTCGTTGTACGCCCCGCGCTCCTCGATAATAACTAGATAAGCCGAAGGGCCATGAGATGAGCTCAAGGTATGGCCCTGAGATGCTACGGTTGCAGACTCGCCAGTGTGAGACACCACAGAGCTCGCAGGAGCGTGACGGATCAATCCATACATCGCAGGGAGACAATCCGAAGGAAGAAGGCGATGCGCCTTGAGTTTGGCAAACTCAAACCCGCCAGCTTAAGACACCACAGAGCTCGCAGGAGCGTGATAGTTCATTTCATACGTATCCAGTGGAGCAGCGTTTTCTATTAATTGGGACATTCGTAGGGAGACAATCTGAAGGAAGTCGGCGATGCGCCTTGAGTTTGGCAAACTCGAATCGAAGATGACATTATATTCGCACGTTCACTTCCTTGTTGTTCTGCTGTATGTAAGACAGCCAGGAGAGTTTTCGATGCCGCGGCACCCATCGCTCAAAGAGCTCTTCGTCATCTGAGCGGTTTTGCCAGGGGCGAACACCACAGGAATTATCCGCATCGCGGGAACAGGAGCGCCTCCTCGTTAAGCACGAAGTCGAGTGCGGTACGTATCCACCGATAATTCTAAGAAGCGAGCTCGAAAAACATTTTGTTCGTCAAGCTCAACTTGTGTAGTGATCGAGGGTCCGACTACGTAGACGCCCAACGATCGAGTAATCGCGTCCTTCGCTTCCGTAGCGGGGTCCGCCGAGCGAAAGCCGTGATCCACATGGGGATCAAGAACCGCCTGTGGATGCACGCGCATGGGGGCCGCCTTGCGGACAGCATCCAGCTGTTGCTTCTGTGCCTCTTCGCGGTCATTGGTATTGACACCACTTCCCCCGGAGGTCGATAGTTTAGATATCGGACACGGCGTCCGCAAGGGTTGAGCAGGGCTCATGTCGCAATGCTGGGGCACATCGCCCTCCTCTTCTTCCCATCCGAAGAATGGAGTATCCGACTGGTGGTCAGCCTTTTCCGAATTCTCGACGAGGTAATTAGTCGCCCGTGGCGGGCGCGGTGCACGGTCGGGGGTAGACATCGCGTCTGTGTTCTTGGTCGTGCGACACTGTCGCTGAAAATGCGCTGTGCGGCACTCAATTACCGAGAGCGTGGGCTGCGCCTCCCTCAAAGCCGCGGGCGTGCTGCCCGTAGCTGCACCGCGTGCAAAAGACGAAGCCCACAAACGTTCTCAGAAACAGCTAGGCTGCGTGTTTTTAGTGCCATAAATGCAAGGCTCATTGAGCGGAGAATGTTCAAAGGTGGTCGGCTCCTAAGGTATCGGAGTAGGTGCACTCAGCGCGCATTTGACGTCAGTCGTTGGACTCATAAGCTGTTGAGAAGATGCTATGCCCGTAGGATGCAAATTTAAAGTGAACATTTTTAGATCTTTGGTTCACAACCACATGCTACTTCTTGTTTTCAATATAAAAAACACTACCGTATTTGTTATTACTTACAAAGCACTGGTCTTCTCATCCCTTTATTCCATCCAGTAGCGTAGAGCGCACAGCCATTAAAGTTTCAGGCTGAATTAATCAAGAATACGGCATAATTTTTTTATTTACTGATTACATAACACCAAATCTCGAATGGTGCGGCAAGCCGCCGCGTATAGCACTCTCGTATACATTTTGGCGACTAGAGTGTTGAGACCTAAGACGTAATTACTGTCCGCAACGCAGTCGGGCCTAAAAAACGCTATACAGTAGAACCTGTCTAAATTGAACTTGCTGACTGCCTGGGAAGAGGCGGATTTCAATTTTTAGGTTTCAGAGGGTTTATAATTTTTGTATCGTTCCGACTCGGGACCATCACTTTTATATAACTTATAGAGGTTCTTAAATTGTACAAGTTCAATTTGGACAGGTTCCACTATAGTCCTAGTTGTGATAATGCATAAGTTTTGAACAGAGCGTATGTGTATTTTCACCTGCTTGGTATTATTAATTCCTTAAACCACAAAACTCACTTTCCAGCAGAAGCACCTACAGTAGCTTCCACCTCACCTGCAGATGCGTCAGGAATGATATCTTCCAGCTTCTCAAAGGCTGTGGCCTGTACCGTGTACAACCTTTTCTCTTCTTCAACAGCTTCCTGAAATTCACTGACGACCTTGAGCAACAAATCCTTTTTTATGTTTACAGTGGCAAACACTTGTAAAGCATCGTAGCCTGCATCTCGACATGAGATAAATGCAGATGCGTAAGCCACCATAAAAGGTGGATACAAGAGGATGATGTCCGTGCGATATGAGTATTGTACAAGCTGCCTATTACCATGATTCTAATAAGTTACGTGTCGTTTAAACGTGGCAACTCATTAATACACCTACCACGCAAGCTGAAGACATTCCTCGTGGATATCAAATTCGTCCAAGAGTCTACAACCATAACAAGCGGCATTAAAAATACAGCGTTTGACATTTTAAATCAAGGACTTGCTGTACTGGAGTAGCGGCGGGAACGGATGGTGCAAGATTAGGTCAAATTGCAAAGCCTCGATGACATAGAATTCGCATTCTAGGATGTCCTTGTCCTGAAACGTGTACATTGATTCGTCTTCATCGACGCCGGCTGGATCACGTAGATTGCACTTCAGAATTAATTATCAAGACGTCAACAAAGTTGTGATAACAAACTTTTCGTACTCGTAGTATAATGGTGTAGAACAGACGCAACTGTTGTCAATGACAACTGACTTTCCTCAACTTTGGACGCTAGGAAGAATACCGTTCCAACAACAAGGTGGGGATCAAAGTTTACAAAACTCTGTCTGCACTGCCAGTAGTAATTAATATATAAATACAGAATTGCCAGATTTGTGGTTGTCTTACGTCTGATAAAAGCGACGGTAGAAGATAATGGCAGTATAAATGATGATCTGACGGACCCTTAAGCGAGGCCCAATCTCCTCCAGCACTAAGATGTACGACAGAACTATAGTCAGCTCAATCCTGCTCAAATATTTCGCGTTGTGAAGCCTACTAGTTTTGACTCACACGATATGTTGGCGAGGTGAATGCTGTCGATCTCGTCGTCCGTCAAATGTTTGCGATCCTGTGGGTTCCTCTTTCGCAGGTCGCATTTGGTCACGTCTTTCATCCAGTACAAGCTGCCTCATCAACAAGATCATAACTTTAAGTATTCGAATGTGCTGTGATGCATGCGTTAATCATACTAATGTGTTGATTGCCAAAAGTTCATGCCCATTTTGTATTCACCAGCACGCTTGAAAAATAGTCAAGAGCGGTACAAATTTCTTTCAGAAAAATTGTTGTCATTATTGGCCAAAACCAGAACCTATCAACAATTTTTGTGACATCATAAGATGCTCATCCTCGAATTTTTGCCACCAAAACCGCGGGCACCCGCCAAAACTTGCGCATTTCGCCTCGTTCCGCGTAAAAACCAGACGTAAGATGACGGATTATACAATCCAGGTTCGTGCTTAAAGAATTCACTTTTCGATTCGCTATCAATCGAGTAACGACAATTGATAGTGTGTGAAAGATGTATCGCTGGAGGTTACCCGTGACGATGGAGACATCTCCCACACTAGGCTTCAAACCGATCTGGTGTTGCGCAAGGAGGTGGGTAACGCGCGTCTTGTTAGTGGTGACTCTATGATTTGGGTTGGCAAGAGTTTATTGTATCATAAAGACTCTACACTAGACTCAGTTCCCACACGCACTGTGCACGTGGAGAATGGCAAACGACGCTTCGTGTTTACCATTCCTCTGGATGCCGCAGGGAAAATTTTTTTTTTTGAGCTTAAGCGTCAAGTAGATGGTGTGGACATTCAAAAGAAAAAGCGCAAGATCCGTAAACAGCTGAGTCAATCCAAGGGCTTTACGCCTACTAACACGTTTATGAGCCCTAAGAAAAACATGTCGCCACTTGTTACGAGTCCACATCAGAATCCGACGATGGCTCTTAAACGCAGTCCCTTGACAGAAATCGGATCACCTCGGTTGCTATCTCCATTGCCAATAATTGAAAAAGGATTAAGCTCTTCGTTGACTTCACCGTTGAGATCACCTTTCCGATCTCCGTTTCGCAAAAAACCGCGACTTCCACAAAGTCCATCGAGCTGTGGGAAAGCGAAAAGTGGAAATATAAAATCACCACTGCGATCCCCAGCTCGAGAATGGCTAAGCCCTGTTCGATCTCTTAAGCTTCGAAACGGACCGACTCCACCGCATCTAGAGCATTACACCAGCCATACCTCTGATGTCCAAACTGCGGAAGATACAAACAAAGATGGCGGTGAAGCTCGTCGGAAATCGATCACTGGATCAATAAATAGGCGTGTTCGCTCACTTCAACTATTACTGGATGATGAGTCGAGTATCAAGGAGGCTGAGACACATGCTCAGAAGAAAATCACTTCGCACTTTTTACAGATAAGTTCACCTCCAAGCTTCTTAAACAAAACTGCTCGCGAACTGGATATGTCGGCAGAACCTTTATCAGGTGAGTCAGAGCAGTTAGACAACAAGGCAGAAGCAACAATTTCGAAGGCATGCGATTCGTCGGGGAATGGAATTAAGCAGAGTACTCATGGACTACTTAATTTAGGCAACTATTGCTACATGAATGCAATTGTACAGGCATTGGCAGTTCTTCCTGAGTTTGTACGTGCCGTTCGAGACGAGGATAACATGCTTAAAGTAATACGGAAACATTCACACCCTAGCGTGAAGGGCATGACGATAGAACAGATTAAGAAAATGTTCGATGATTGGCGGACAAGCGGTGACACCAAACATCTTATATTGCAGTATACCTTAAACCAGATACTCCAGAGTGTTATCAACGGCAGCAACACATCAATAAACCCGGAGCCGCTCAAAAATGTGATGGGAAAAAAAAATCCCATCTTTGCAACGTACGTGATGTTTCGATATGTATAATTTTTGTCACACATTACTTACCGCAGATAGCTTTTCTATTCATTGCCTCGAAGACACTATCAGCAAGACGCACACGAATTTTTGCTTAACCTCGTGACGGAATTCGAGCAAGAGCTTTTGCAAATGGTGCATGAAATAACCACAAAGATTCAGGAAGAAGCTAACGTGACTCCGCAAGTGCAGAAGGGCAGTTTAATGAAATTGTTCTGCAGTGGTCTGAAAGCGGAAAAAGTTCGGCATGGTGAAAGAGAAAAGTCATCTGAAGCAGATTCGGATCTCGTGTGCTGTCTTCCACCCGCCAAATGCTTTCGAGCCGAGTTCAATCGTACTTTGACCTGTCGGAATTGTGCATTTAGTCGCAAACAAGCCGAGACATTTTACGATTTCTCTTTGGACTTGCCGTATCACTCAGAACCCGAACCTATAGTTGACCAGGAGCCTCAATCAAATTTGTCACCCGAACGACAATGTTATTGCAATCTCACTCCTGTCAGAGTAGGAGAGGCCAACACATGTTATCATTGCTGCCCCAATGCGGCTTGCAGCTATCGAGAAAAAGTTGTGAAAGCTGTAGAATTTGCTCGATCGCCCGTAACAACACCCACGGTGCCACCGTCAAAATTTTCGGCCGCATCGCCACCTCAGCCACCACAGATAAAACTAGAAACACTGATTGAGAAACATTTTGAGACCGAGGTTTTGGAGTTAGCTTGTGAGAAGTGCATAGAGGGGAAGACAGCGGAGTCAGCGTACCAAATTAAGTCGCTTCCGTCCGTCCTCGTATTTCACCTCAAACGCTTCGAGGTAAACCCTCAATCTGGGTCGTTGTTTAAGCGCTGCGATCCGATCGTCCCCCCTGCTATTATCGACATGACAAAGTTCTTCAGCTACACCACTAGAACAGAAGGTGATTCGCGGTATATTTTGAAAGTACGTATCGGATAATTTTGCTCGATACACCTTGCCTAAATGTGCTTGCTTCCTAGAGTGTCATCCACCATCTTGGTAGAACTATTGACGAAGGTCACTACGTTGCTGACGTGTGTGATGCAAACGGTCAGTGGATTCGTCGAAATGATACGCATGAGTCAATGGTACGCTTTTTTTGGCATTTACTGGGACTAAAATAATTCAGTATCCATTACGCCACTTTTAGATTTCGGAAGACTACGCACTGCAAGCATATCGAAGCCAAGAATCTTGCTACATGTTTTTTTACGCTAAAATGGAGAGCAGCAGCGCTGACAGTGGCAAAGAAAATGTACCAGTCCGTTTATCGCATCAAGACGAGAATGACGAAGTTTCTTCCCAGCGACTGCAAAAGTCTTCGAGTCGTGGGTTGCGTGCATTTTTGTGACTTGTAAGTTATCAATTTGTGTTGATTGTGTATATTTACGCAGTATAATTTTTAAAATAGGATAAACTTGCCGAAGTGCTTGCTCATTTACCAAAATGCTCTTCTTTCCAAAATATTTGGTGTCATGCCCGATTCTTCCTCAATTTTCGAATACAACGCTTACACGATGGTTCGAATCCAAACGTGGCAACATCTCTTCTATGAAAAATTTCGATCAGTACTCGAAGCAAATCTACTTGACTTCAAAGTTGAGAAAGCGAATCAAATATGCGCTACGGTGATGGAGAGCTGTCCATTCTTTTCCGAATGCAACGGCTCTCATAACTAAAGCTTTGACTCAACGAGGCCTATCAATTACGATGGAATCTCTGAGATATACACAAAAGTTTCAAATCTGCTAAAATGTCTACTAGTACATAAAATCATGTAACGGAGAACGTGACGTCTCTGTGCACAATGACATATGATCACTGAAGCTGGCTTGTAAATCTGTAAGACGGATAAGGCGGCGTGTTTATTTTGCTCACAGCGATTATCACTTTTGAGCTAGAGTAAATTCGTCGTGTTAAGTTTACGAATCGATGGACGAGAGGCAGTATGTGCAAAATCAATATGCTGATGCCGGATAAAAAAACTAGGAGGTGAATGCAAAGAGCATATATTCTGCACAATTGTGCACGGCTTAGACTGGCACTGATGAGAAAATATGTGGCTCCGTATTCGAGAGGTTTATAGGACTGGTGGGATGCATTCTGTACATGTAATTATATTACGGACATTATGGCATCCGTTGCATTTCGTGTCTTTTGGTATTAAGTGCGCTAAATAGTCTAACTAGTTTTAATTGTAGAGTAAACACTAGATATAATTACTCGGTCCTAGATGGACCGAACTTTCCCTTTTTTGTGCGTTAGTTCAGGCGGTCTCATCGAGTCAAAAAATTCTCAATGCAAGGAGCACGGCAACACCGCTGCACTTGGAAGCACTTTTAGCCAATCTGACGGCCGAGCCGAGAAACACTACGATTAGAGAATGGAATTCAGAGTATCCTATGACCTTGCTCAAGGATTTCTAGACTTGGTTTAAAACGATTGTGCCTTTCTTTCGCCCAAAGGTCCAATAAATTGATGCCTTTAGGGCTAATAGGTAAACATTCGGCCGGATTCGCTCACCAGTTATGAGATTGCAGCTCCAGAACTGCCCAAACGGGGCGTCGGGTGGAAGCATTATTCATCTCTCCGCAAGGCGCTCTGATGTAGAATATCTATACATTTGGGCTTAGATGACTATGGATGAACAACGCTCCAGACAAGCAACAGTGCGTCGCACTTGTGATATTCCAGGTAGGAGTCCGTGCACACCAACGTGCCTTGTCTCTGTAGACGGGGTATTTCTTAAGTGGCCAGATTTAAAGCGAAATCCAATGAAAAATCTAATTGTACATACTTTGACTGCAACGAACGCTATAACACAGTATGTTATCGAATTAACGATTACATGATAGGGGAACTACTTTAAACATCAACGACAATAGACTGTATCATGACATTAAATTGCATTAAAGTTTATACAATTTGTTTATACTGCCCTTTGAGGCGAAACGGGTGAGTTTCAAATTAACCCGTCAAGGAAAATGGAAACTGGCGGAATCTATCCAGAGATTACGAGCTTTTGGTGCTGCGATGGCGGCAGATCCGCTTCCGAAGCCGGTACAAGCTCCCAACTTCATGGAGAGCGTGCGAATCGCATATTGACCTTACGCGTTCCTTTTCCAAAGAACAGCCGGTGTAGCATAGATTGTAGTGTATAGTATTCGCCGCGAAGGCTGAACGAGGTACCGGAAAAATCTATAGACGCGCCAGAAGCGATGAAGTTCAGCCATGATGTTCGCAGAAAAGATCTCGTAGCTGCTGAGCATTCACATGTATTTAATTGACTTTGTGTGCCTCATATGGGTTGTGGATATTGGGATCCAGCTCAAAAACCGACCAGGTTGTTGGAAATGCACCTGGAACCTAGGTGCGGCTTGCATGTGACCCACACGCAACCCA